ATATTAGAAAGACAAAATAAAAATGTCTTAGTTAAGTGTCTTGTATTTGACAGTTTTAACCCACTCTTAGCTTTCTGAAATGTGCAAGCTGTACAAGCAAAGATGTTACAAGTCTAAAGATGTTACAAATCTAATCTTTGCAAAGTATAGCAGCAGTGAGAATTATTTGTGACACTGACAAATTAAGAAATTTCAATCAGAAACATGATTACGAAAGAGATAACATTCATTATATTAAATAGGTTGAAGTCAATTTGTGAGAAGGATATTTTACCTCTAAGTTGACTGAAAGACTGATTCTGATCTATGTGTGATCATAGATGCTCCTTGGGATTTACTCTTGCTCAAAAAAACCACCTGTGACTGTGCTTTTTGGATCTGCACAGCCTGCAGCACCTTGTAATTACACTGGCTGCAAAGCTGGTGCTGGGAAACGTAGATTCCTTTTTATATGCAAATAAACTGAATACTTCTGTGCCTTGTGGCAGGAATGTAAGGTGTTGCTACTGACACCCTTCAGGTTTTGTGTAAAATCATAAACAGCATTGCTCTTTGTTATAATATGGAAACTTTTTTTTTGCCTGAATGTGCTGAGAGTTTGGTTGCACAATTACTTTTTATTTATTTTTTTTTTTTGCCATTGAACATATTGCTCCTATAATCTCTTTAGTGTATCTGGTATAATTAATATTTAACTTTTATAGGCTGCTGGTTTAGCAGGATAATTAAAAACCTCTTATATCAGTAATATACTAAAAAGAATTAAAAAAAATATAGAGAGAATGGGACATCCATGCTAAACTGTTCTTGAAGTCTGGAAAAGAAGGACTGTGATAAAACTTGCAAGAGTTTTTTCCTCTTGCTCAGAATCCTCTTGGTATTTACTTTTTTTTTTTCTTTTTTTTTTTTTTTTTCTGGGTAATAATAATCTGTAACTACTTTACAGTTTCTGTGTGTCCAGATTTGTCTCTCCAACCCAGTTGTAATTTTGTCCACACATGAACTGTGTGAAATGGTGTTTCTTTAAAATTTTATTTTGGACAACTGTCCTAGCCAATGAGATCTTTGTTTTTCAGGCTAATATAATATGCAATCTTTCAAGACTCTTTAAAAACTTTACTGGTCTTTGGATCACACCTTGGTGTGTGGCAAGTGTAACTAAGAACACTCAGTATGCTAAAACAAATGTGTGCATTACCATAGATAGAAACCAAACCCTTTGTCATCTTGGACATTGTGTAGATAATATTACTTATCAAGCATATGCTGTGGAGACAAAGGTTTTAGTTGATGGTACTGAGCATATGCTGAAGACTCATATGCATTTTATTTTAAAGCTTCATGTATTAAAAAAAAAGGCTTGTGTAAGTTTCTTGTTAACAATTTCAAATGAAGCTATCTGAATAGCTTGCTTGGATGAAAGGAGGGAAAAAGAAACACCAAAAAGGCAAATCTGCTGAATAGGTTGCCTTAGAGATAAAATTTGCTGTATATCTGCCAAAAAACATGGTTTATTTCCCACCATTTTGTTTATAAATACCCACTAGGTAAATAATAATCTCATCCTTCTGAAAAAGCCTTCCTAAAATAGAGTTTAAATCAAGTACATGTGTTTTACAAGCAAAACAGATCTATATCAAACAACACAGTTGTTTCCTTTCATATGGTTTCTAGAAATTTGAACAAAAATTATTACTCAAACAGTTCTGAGCTTTAGAATTGTAGGATCATAGAATTGATCAGGTTGGAAAAGACCTGTAAGATCAGTCAGTGCAACCTTTGGAACATCTGAAGCCAGATCCAGATTCTGAGACTGGATATTTCTCTAGTTGTAAACAGTCAGTAATTTAATTTAAGAAAATTTTTCTCTATGAAAGTTGCAAAAAATATTTCAAGCTATGTCTGTGTTAGGAGGCAGCATGGTGCAGTGGGAGCAGATCAGCTGGTAAGGAGGACCTGGTATCTACCTAGTATGTGTGGGGGCTATTTAGTTCTAGTTTGATTCTATGGACTGAATTCCCATTTGTGCTTGACATCCATTAGCAGTGCTCCCAGAGATGATGATCTAGCTGCATTCATTGGAAAGGAAACCACATTGTTGCACTCTGAAGCTGTTGTATGATGTGAATCAAAATGCAGTAAGTGGGAGTGATGGGAGGTTTACTTTCAATAGTGTACTTCTCACATAAATGAAAATGCTAGTCTAATTTTTAAGTGATGAAATATGGTTGAAAAACTGAAAAAAGTTAAGAAGTTGATAGAAACAACATAGTGTCTTTTAACTACTCCAGAGAACTTTGTAGGTTTCTGATTGTTTGCAACACTTCATCATTACTTAAAAGACCTAAAGCATTTGTCTCAAAACAATTGATACAAAAATAGCTTATAAATCCATTATCTGTGTCTTTTCATATACAATTCTTGGCTTACTCATTTAGAGAAATACAGTTTCACAAAAGTTTTTAACATCTCCCAGAACTGCACTGCTGTTTATGCAGCAGTAGCATAGCTGAGGAAAGCTTTTCACACCTGTTGGTCAACATCTAAAGAATTGAGATAACAAGCATATGAAGTCACTCTTACTGTCTTTCTCTTAATCTAAAAATAAATGCCATAGCTCTTTTCAGCTTGTAATAGATATATATAAAAGTTTGGACACAGCTGAGAAGAGCCACAGTAGCATTAAGCTATCATGATTTACTGGCTATGCCATTCTTAAGCCAGAAGTAGATAGTTCTTTAGCTGGACACTTCATAAAGGATTTGTTCCAGGAACCACTGACACTCTAGTCAGTTAAAGAATTCAGCCTTTGGCACATGATAGAGAGAAGTGCTGTATCCTTCTCTCCCCTTTAAACCTCTATAGTAAAATCCCCCAGACTAAAGTGACTGTAGGTATTTCCCATTTTTGTCCTCTGTCAAGATCAAGGATTTCAGAATCTGCATGAACTGAAAATCGTTGTTTCTGTTGTATTGCTGTAAAGGTTTTCACATAGGTTAGTATTTGCAATTAGATAGGCTTACCTTCTAATTCTATCAAAGTCATATCCAAACTTGAACATCTCAAAATAGCACGATGTGATGATACAATACCACTGAACTTTCCCTAAAGTTTTGGCATCAGGTCATGTTCTATGATTTTCTTTTAACCTAGCAGTTCTTTTATCTACATTTCTGAGAGTTTCCCTGAATTTACAATTGGTATGTGTGGCTTGTTCCAGAGACAACAGTTTTGGGTTTTCAGTTTTGCAAGCACATGATCTTGTTGACGTTTAGAAAGCTAATTTTGCCCAGATTATATACTCACGTGCCTAGTACAAAAATTGTCTTTCATTTTTTTGCCAGCGGTTTGGTAAATCTGAAGCTTACTCCTCTATCAAACTCCTATTGTTGTCAAGTCACTTGATACTCTCACTTTCATAACAGTCAAAAAGGAATACAGAGTTGTTGTCATACGTAGTAAATTTATTTTTACCTTCAGTTATTCCACAAAGAAATGAACATCAAGCAAATATTTTAAAACACTGATGACATTTTAGGTTTGTAAAAATAGATTTTTTTGTCCACTCTCACTTTCAAAAGCATTTTCAGTTTTATTTTATGGGCTTTATCAATGCAAAAGTATAAATGCTACCTATAACCTCCATGGTACCTGAGAAACACGAATATGTTTTGTGCCCAAAAATAATTCAGAAACTAACCTTTAAAAGGGTACACTTTTTTTTTTTTTTTTAATGTCTGCTTTTCATATGCAGACATAAATTATAAATGCAGTGACACACATATGTTTAAAACACTTAAATTCTGAAATAAAACTTTAAGAAAAAAACATTTTGAAAAGTCTTTGAATATGTGGACATTGTATTTCAAGCTTTGGGCACAACTGAATTTTAGAATAAATTTAAAGTACATACAGTTTCTTATTTTGGCTCCATATTCTTAAGTTTTAAGCTTCTTATCTTGTAGAACAGGAAGAGTGTAATAGATTGTTTGCCACGGAGTTATTAATTTCTGCTAGTCTTGTAGACTTGATGTAAGATTTTGTAGATTTTTCTACTTTAAAGTGGTTTCAGAATATCCCAATAAATTATTTATGAATTGTTTTTGAAAATGCTGAGGTTTGGTTTGTCAGTCAGGTGTGTATATGTAGCTGTCACCTACCTGAAAGCGATGCAGCTCTTCAAAAATTCAGAAATTTATTTTAAAACTGTATGATTTTCCTTAGGATTGTTTTGTTTGTTTGTTTGTTTGTTTGTTTTTACCAGGCTTTAAAAACATAAGTAGTTTCCTTTGCGTATTTTAATCAACATTTATTTGTAAAGTTGTCCAAGTTTTAATTTGCCAGCAATAAAAATATTTTTATGGTATTTCCCCATTGTTTCTATTATGGAAATTGAAAGATGAGGATGCAAAAAGACAATGATTTTCTGCAGAAAGGTTTTAAAATTTACCTTCATTGTCAACTTGAGTGATTTCCTATTAGAGTGTGTTTTCGGTTTCTTTTTTTCCAAAAAGCAAATATACGTGTGTGCATGCCTCAGAAAAGTTTTCTGCTAAGTGATGTGAAAGCTGATTTCATAACAAATCATTAAACCAACAAAGATCTCCTCTTTGCTTCTTACTAAACAGTCTTTATTATACTAGTTTTTTTATTGTATCATTTGATATTTATTTCTTATCACAGTTGCTGCATCAGAACATTAAGTCAATATAACCCCAAATTCAAAGCAAAGTAAGCAAAAATCTATTTCTGTCCGACATTAATGGTAGTTGAATAATAGATGGTGGAGGCAGACATGAATAACTGCTTGTTTTGTGCTACCCATGTAAAATAGCTGCTTCTCAAATGATCTGTCAAGTTTCTACATTTGTTAGGACCCAGCCTGTAACACTTTGATGGCTTTGGTGTTTGCAAAGATACTTAATTTGTGTTTATCATGCCTTGATTAGAGTACTTATGTATAGGCTGTAGTAATCATGTAACCCCTCAGCTGTTTAACTTTTTTTATTCCAGTACAGCTGGTTTAGTTTATACTTCATTGAGTTATATTGACAACTTCAAAGAGAGTACTTTAGCAGAATTTGACTGGTATAATATGCTACTGCTGGCTTCTAGGGACTTCCACCTCCCTCAGAATCCCACAAGAAAAGGTTTAAAAGCTGCTACTTTGGAATCAGGCAGAGGTCCTGACACTTGTACTGCAGTTCTAAGCTGTTAATGGCTTTTTGTGTGCATGCATGTATTTGTGTGTTAATGTAAGATTAGCATTTTGGATAAACAGTAACTGCTTCATATCCCTCTGGTGGCCTCATGCGAGCTCGAGCATGAGCTTCACAGTACAGTTGGCCCTCCACAAAGAAGTAGCCTTTTTGTTTCAGGTTCAGATTGCAGTCAGAGCACACAAAACATTCTGGGTGCCGGTATTTATCACGTGCTTTCACCACTGTTCCTCTATATGAAAACAATGAAAATAAAACCACAATTAATTCATATGCATTTAAAGTGAGAAGAAACTACAGTATGACTCAAAATAAGTTCTAGGCATTTATATTAAGGCTTTTAGGTTGTTCATCTAGTGGTTTTGCCAACTAATACAGAATTTAATGTTGGAATCTGAGTTTGAGTACAACACATAAAATGCTGTAGAATTGATCACATAATTCAATAGCTCATCAGAAAACTAGACTTTGAAGAAGCACGTTAGGTTGGTTACAACACAGAAAGTAGAGTCTAACCTATCAAAACGGTGACAAAATTAATTTAAAAGCTGTTTCTTTTCCTCAATACTGAGACAATGCAGCAGAGGTAACTGCTGCTTTCAATAGGTAGGTGTTAATGATTGACTTGCAAAAGGTCCTGAGAGATCTTAATTAAAGCCTTGATAGTACACAGTCAAAACAGAAATAATCTGAATCGGAAGTGTCTAAAGTATAGATTGATAATTTGGGATTTAAACCCATGTATATTTATCTCTGTTGTCTAGAAGCATTCTTCTGCTAGTGCAGACAGAGACCAAGGCCATCACTTGGAAAGCATTCCTGTAGTCCGTGGTGGTGTTTGAAAACGTGTGCTCAAACTAGAGGTTTCTATAACTAAAAATAAACTACTTACACAATCCCATTCCCACACTTGTCACACAGTGGCACTTTCTGAACACCAGGCATGGCAGAAGGTATCTTTGTTACAGGTGCTTTCACACTTCTTGTGCCTGCAGGGCGTCCATCTGAGAACCAAAACAATCCTGTTAAGTACAGGTTAATATAAAAACATCTGATGCAGTCAAATCCTTTTCCTGTAAATATACTTCTGGATGTATTTCACTTTTATCAACAAACAATTAAGTTTCTTTATACTTGTGGCTCACAAGTTTCATGAGCCAGATTCCACCTCTTCTGAATTGACAAAAATACTGTGTAGCTGTAGCCAAAAAGCAAGTAGAAAAGTACTGTATCTTTGGGTGCATCAAATGCACCATGGCCAGCAGGTCATGGGAAGTGATTCTACCCCTCCCTCCTCTCTGCTCTCACAAGACCTTGCCTGGAGTACTGTGTCCAGCTCTGAGGCCCTGAGTGCAGGAGAGACATAGACCTGTTGGAATAAGTCCAGAGGAGAGCCACAAAGATGATCACAGAGCTAGGGCACCTCTGCTATGAAGACAGGCTGTGAGAGTTGAGATTGTTTAGCCTGGAGAAGACAAGGCTCCAGGGAGACTTTTCAGTGACCTTTCAGTACCTGAAGGGGCAGGAAAGCTGGGGAGGGATGGTTTACAGTGACATATAGAGATAGGAGGAGGGGTAAGGGTTTCACACTGGAAGAAGGTAGGTTTAGATTAGACATTAGGAAGAAGTGCTTCACTATGAGGGTGCTGATACACTGAAAGAGGTTGCTCAGAGAAGTTGTGGATGCCCCCTCCTTGAAAGTGTTCAAGGCCAGTTGGATGGGGCTTTGAGCAACCTGACCTAGAGGGAGGTGTCCCTGCCCATGCAGGGGGGTTGGAACTAAATGATCTTTCAGGTCCCTTCCAACCTAAATCGTTCTGTGATTACACATGGTGCTCTCAGCCTCATACACAATCTAATTCTCTTGGGTCTTGGGTATAGGAGAAGAGAGGGGAGGATTTGGCTTTAGCATTGCAACATAACATGGTTAAGACCTGCTGTTGGAAAGCTTCTTCTTTATATAATTAACTGTACAACAAATTAGTAAAGATTAGTAACATGGTATGAATTATATGCAAATATAATAATATATTTATAATATATTATATATAATATATATAATAATATATTCATAATATATTATATTATGAATTATAGCAAAATCAAGAAAATGCCAAGTAAAATCCCACAATGCTATATACAGACAATTATATGTATTTATTACTTCTCTGGCAAATACTGAGATGTAAAATTTAAGTTTTTTACTATTTACCTTTTAGGTTAATTTTATTTTATTTTACTCTTCAAACTTACTGTAAGTATAACAAACTTGCAGACTTTAATAATGTCATTTAAAAAACTTATTCATTTGAGGAAAATACAACTGTAATTTATATTCTCCTCTTCAATTTTTATTTAGAATAAAGAGGGGATGGGTGAAACATATTTTAGGAGCTGATTTAAATTTCTCTTTTCCCAGATGTGGAAGAGAGTCTTTTTTTTCTTGATGTCAGGAGTATATGCAGCTTGTCACAAAAGTTCTCTCACACACAACTTTTTATCATTCAGTATCATGCATTATATTAACAATCTTAAAATCTAAGAAGAGATTCTGAAAAATGTGATTAACACTCCATTATGTTCACACAGGACATAGCAAGGGGGAAAATGTTACGAGGCTGCTGTGCTGTCTTTAAGATTCAGAATGAGTTGGGCTTTCAGAAATTCTTACAGCTCTGATCTCACATATTTTCTTCTCAGATTCCCCCTTCCCACAGATATTTAAAAAATGCTATGAACAGGTAAAAATGTCATTATTAACCACCTTCCTCGGAGACTAAATTCTGGAGCACCTTAAAGGAGCCAGACTGGCGAGGTTCACTGGGCTCCTCCTGGTTGGAATGCAACATCTTGTACACATCAGACTGAGGCACGGAGTTGGGATATGGGTCACTGTGTCACAGGGAGGAAGAGCAGATAAAGCAATTTAGCAATCATAACTTCAAAGCAATATTTCTACCAGGCATACAGTAGGATTCAGGAAACAAAGACAGTGTGTTCCTACAACTACTGAAAAACTCTCCTCCAGCTAGCATTGCTTTACATAGCCTTCTCTTGATCTGAAAGAAGTATCTGTGCAATTGTTACAAAAATAAATCTAAAAAGTAAAAAAAGCATTTCCATAATTACTGTCCTGACTCTAATGGCATTTGGAAATAGGCTGGTACCTGTGTTTAACCTCAAAACAGTTGTATTCCAGTGATCAACTGCTGTATTATTACCAGTGATTATTTGACTAAGAAGATTGTTACCTATTGTTACCTATTTAACTTAAGGAGATGACAATAAGAGTGAAGTACATATTGCATAGCAGGAAGCATTGCAAGCTAACACCCATGAATGAAAATTCTATTATTAATTTAATTTGAATGGGACATGGCTTGCTTTTTGTAATGCAAATTTTATGATAAAAATAAAAGTAAATTATTGTCCAAACAGTTAATGGTTGAATTTCCAATGACTTGTGAGCCAGAGATTTTAGATTTTGCCAAGAATATTTCATGGTATTTTAAACTGTACTGAATGTTTTAAATTGATCAATATAATTAACATTTTAAGTAGCTGAGAAGAAGAGTAGATGACTATATGCATTGGCAGGAATTAGGTTGAAAATGTGGCATCTGTAAATTTTAAACTGCTACTGGAACTATTAGAAAGGTCTGACTTCAATGAAGTCTATTATCTCACTGATAAATACATAACTGTCCAACTTAAATTTTCTGTTACAAATGGCCTCCTACTCTCTGTTAAACCTTAGGTAAGTTTCCAATGGAAATAAGCAACTAATTCCACAAGGAATTAGACTGGTTTTGCTTGATATGGTTTGGCTTGCTTTCCAAAGAAGCTTCTAAGCTGCCAAATAGCACAGTAAGAGCAGTGGCAGTTGGGCAGTAACCCCTGTTGCTTAAGTTAATTGTTTTCATCTCCATCAATCAACAGATTTCTCTGAGCTGTCTTTAATGTGGTGAAGAAACTACACCACTTTCTTCTCTTGTCACAAGCTTTTAATGAATTTAATTTTTAAAATGAGTTTAGTTTTTACAGTTGTCACTGGTGGCTAATTAAACCCTTGATTCTCTCCTCTTTACTAAAATATTTCTAAACATCAAAAAAGTGATAATACAATTATATACAGAAGGCAAATAAGCAGATACAAAGGTGAGGTAGCATTTCTCAGTTCATATATAGTGAAAACCAATCCCACAACAAAAGAAACATTTTGAGCCTATGTAGAGAGTCAGTTTTCAAACTGGGAATGCCACAGGCATTTGTGAAATCTGGTTACCCTGGGCTTAATCCATGATTTCAGAATAAAGTAAAAGCAAATTTTTCTTTTATTGATCTCTAGTTGCTGTGATTGAGAATAAATAGTCATACAGTAGAGTAACATCACTCTGCAAAGACTTAATGAACTTAAGATTTTGTCAGATATGTTGAACTTAAATACTTCTGTATAAATATGATTTTTATGGTTAGTAAAAGCTCAGTTCTGTAAGGTGCTACAGAAAGTTCATTGGTGCCAGTAACTATTGCCTATTTAAAGTATTAATAATTAGCTTTAGTTTACACCATACGTGTTATGAATGATTAACTTAAGTACTGTTGTAAATCAGAAAATAATTAAGTATTATGCAAAAGTAAAGATAAAGCGTGAAGTGAACAATGAATTATTCCTTGATTAGTGCATTAAAACTTTTTATTGTATAATCATCAGTGTTATCCAGAGGTTCCTACCTGAATTTTAGTCTTTGCAATGGATAAAGTTCCTAAGTCAGAGCTGGATTAGTACACCTACAAAGTAAATTCTGGATAGTTTTAGAGAAGAGCTAGTAGTACTGACTGAGTTGTCCTGAATGGGAGTTAAGTATCTAGAACATGTTAAACATCTACAAGGTTTCCTCAGCTTCATGACCTGAATTTCAGGAGTTGAAATAAATTTGAGTTAATAATATTTTATTAACTATTAATAAGGATAAGTTATTAAATGGTTATTAAATAATGATGATAACAATAATAAATAGTTTTGACTTTTGGAGTGAACTAGAAACTTGATTTGGGGCGGTCAATCAGGTAATAGTTCAGGTAGTATAATCAGTTATTAGCTACAAATATAAGGTTATTTCCTATGAAATATTAATTTATAAATATGTCTGAAAGACTCCTTTAATACTTTGGGTTACAAATCATACATTACTAATATTTCAATGAAAATATTGAATGGCTTTAAACGTCATAGGTTGTCTCTAACGGTTTTACCCATTTTAATAGAAACAGTGTGATATTATTGAAGCTCATGATTTTTTGTATATTCTAAATTTGCATATTCATAAACATTAAAGATATAGCTCTAATTACCTTATAACAGGTGTTTCCCCCAGAGCTGTAGAAACTTGGCCTTGCAGTGTTTCCATGATATTGTCATCTGAGTACAACTGCATGGGTGTGTTAAACTGAGCATGTACAATCTTGACACCAGGAAGCTCCATTTCCAAGGGAATGTTAGGGGCCATCTTAGACACTGCTTTCAGCTCGGTGGGGCAGATAGAGCTAACTGTGCTAATTGAAGAGGGGGTACTGCGTCCACTGCCACAGTCAATCCCTGAAGGAGTGCTGCATCCACTGTGTTAATAGCCAGGTTATGGAAGAGTGTGCGGCGCGTATCGGATTATAGAGAATAAAGACAAAAGTACAGGAATGTGGTGATGTTAACGAGGCTGGAAAGCATAAATAGAACAGATAGAGAAAAGCAAAAGTGTAGACAGTACAGAAAAGCAAAAGTATATCTGTTTGTTGGAAAGGATTTTCCCGTAGGAAGTATCAATGCCAGTTATAAAACAGTCCTGAAAATTCTGGCATGCATTTTCTTGGAAAATAGTAACAATTATTTGTTAGATTGAATAATTCAGAACATAATATTACTTTACATTTTTGATGCTATATTTTCTTGAGGATTACTTAGACTCCCTAAAATTATTTTTCTAGGTGAGTAATTCTTAATGTCTCCAACAGGGTAGCACACAAAGTTTATGTGTGTTGTCTGTGCCAGTGACAGAATAAACACCTGCAGTACTGGAATCCTGGACACATCATTCTATCCTGCACCTCACAATAATTTAGTCCACAGTTGAAGAGACTACTGTAAAGTAATGTAAAATAAGGAACGTGACATTTCCTACATTTCCTTAAATTCTACAATAAGTTATTTGCTAATTACTTAAAATTATCTTAACAATGTATTTCAGTTTTTAATATTTGTTGAACATTTCAAAGAAGAAAAGATACTAAAAGAGACAGGCATACTTTTGCATTTCTAAATTACAGTATTTCCAGTGAAAGTGGTCCTTCACAAGAACAATGGATATGAAGAGAATTAATTTTACTGCTTTTGAAGTAGGTTTAACATCTAGTTTTTATATAAAATACATTTTTTAAAAAAGAAATATTAATGGTGCTTGACATTACTAAAGTTACTGCACAACAATTTAACATCTCTGGAAAAGAATTAATAAAATTATGTGAAATTAAGCCTAAAGCCTTTTTCAGTGTCACTATTTTGAGCACATCAGTCTTTTCTCCATGGCCCCTCAGAGGCTTTCTTTGTTATTGGATATTCTTTGCTGTTGCTGTGTAACAGCAGGTAACCCAGCATTCCACGGTCATTGGTTATCATTTATATGCTGTTTGGGGCTGTGAGATGATAAATACATAATCTGTTTCCTCCAACCTGCCTATCAGAGTAGAATCATTCTGTGTAAACCTGGAATAAAACTCTATTTTCAGGTTGACAGCACAGTACTCCACCCAGTAGCTACTCCTGGGCAGAGAAGATGAACCAAATTCTCCCTTTGATTCAGAGGGGAATTTGTGTAGGACCACTTTCTTAAAAATGTAAAGGGAAATATATACTCTAACATCAACAACAGATAAAAGGAGAGTTAGTTCCAGAAACGGTAGACAAGCCTTAAAGCAAAAGTAGAGTTCTGCATCATTACCTAACATAAGTCAGCCAGAAAATTCACATGGGGGCTACTTATAAAATTGAAGTATTTTCTTTTAAAAGAAAACTGCCTTTAGATCTTGCAGTAGAATAAGTATTGTTAGTGCTGGTAGTATTAGTAAACAGAAAGTAGCAAGAGAGGTTACAAAAAGCATGACTCTTGCTATAAGCAGCCAAAGCAATGTTAAAACAGAATAAATTATAAGTATAAATAAAATATGACCATACATTACATATAAATTTAAATTACTTTTGCCAGAGTAAAGTCCAAGACCATTGCTAGTGTCTAATCTGTTAGCTCAAACAGGCCAGAATCAGCTCTTCTTTTAGTCAAAGTTCCGTTTAGCCTCAGCTCTCTGTCCTGAAGGGGTATGTGCAGCCAGGGTGGTGGTTTGGTTGTTGCTGTGTTTAACAGAGGATGTATATTGAGCCAAACTGATTAAAAAGTAGCAGACAAACAGTGTGACAACCAAGGCTTTATAGGTGCAACACTCTTTGTCAGAGATGCTGTATATTGTAAACAAAGACTTCTCCAGTGCTAGAACACCTGACGAACCTTGTACAACTAAGGTCTGAAACTAGTTACATCACTGTCAGATTAATTTTTGCTGTTTTTTTCCCCCATCTAATATGCTAGCAAATGGCCATTTGTGTCAGTATTTTCAAGGAAAATATTGTGTAGTTGAGGTTTCTGAATTAGGAGATTAGGCTCTTGAAATGCTTATTTGGATTTCCATAAATCTGATTAGGCACCTTTAAATGGTACCTAGTTTAGGTACCTGGTTCAGGTACAGTATGTAAGTGCTGCCTATTTTTGTCATTTATTCTGTATCAGCATGAGACTGCAAGGAGAGATGGGCATCTTTTCTCCACTGCAGCACTGTTCTTAGATTAACAGTCACAGAAGGAATGGACTCTATCCATCTTCTACATTCTCCTCTTTATCATTCAGGTGGTTGAAAAATTTAACACATCTCACAAAACTGATAACCCATAGGAGATTTTTTCCTTTGTACACAGGAATCAAGTACCCTGTTTTTCTGGCCTAATTTGTCAGACTTGAATGAGTATACTTAAAATGCAGGCATTTTAAACTTTTGGAATTAAATGCAGAAAAATAAATCCAGTGATAAAAACCATTACTGCTAGAAAGGGTAAAGGGCTGTATCACAGTATATTGGATCACTCAGGCACTTCCAAGATTCCTTGCATTTTTAGCCACAGATTTTGCAGTGTTTTTTCCCCTCTGTATTTAATAACATGAATAATGGTAAGTGAGGTATTTCATCCCCAGTTATGACAGATGACTGTTAAACTAAAATGATGGATGTAAATCTATAAGCTTTTCTGTATTTCAGAGCTTTACATGTCTGTGGCATCAGATATTTCTTCTAATTTAGCTTTACTTTAGCTTTCCTTCTGAATAGAGGTCTGCTGAAAAGCAAACTTCAAGTACCTAGATGATAACTTCTGTAACTAGCTATCTTTTTTTTTTTTTTTTAGCGAGTTAACAAATTGCATGTATTTGCATTTAAACAGAAGAATTTCAGGGTGCCATGGATTTATAAGCGTGTGATATCAGGTGCTATGCTGTAAAGTGAATCATGTTCATGAAAACGGTTACTTCAGACTCATATCAGTATAACTGAGACGGGAGTGGGGACCTGCTTTCTTTTGAAACAGAAATGGGAAATTCAAGCCTGATCTCTGCAACTCAGCCATTTCAGGGGTTTGGTTTTGTTTTCACTTTCAGTGTTAGGCTATGTACTGCTGTAAGTAAATTTCAAATGCATCAATATGCTTCATTAATGTCAATGGTGAGTATCTATTAAAAAAATAACACCATGCATCCAAATCCAGCACAGCACTCAAGAGTTTATAACCTGCTTCGTCCCGAGACTATGAAAGGTTTGGGACGAATATTATGCCTGTGTTCAAAGTAGTTCATATCCTGTAAAGAAAAAAGGGTTAAAACAACTTTCTTTGACTTATAAATGCTTGTTTCTACTTCATATGTAGCTAACAAAGTGTTGAAATTGTAACTGTGATGTAACTGCATTTAGGTTGTACATTCCTGGTGCTCACAACAGGATTACTTCAGTGTTCAGAAGCGGAACAAAGTGTGGCTGATCCAGAGAAGGATGGTGGGTAGTGTTGCAGCCCAATTTAGAGGACAAATTGTAGCTACCTGCAGTGTTGCTACTACAAGGCTGAATGGATAGTTTTCTGTTGGAAAAAGATTGCTTAATTTATCACTTTTTTTTTTTTTTTTTGGGATAATCAATTAACTCTTGATTATCAGAAAAAAACATCAAGAGCTGGACTTTTAAATTGAAAACAGAACATATACCACCAATGACCATATACTATAAGTAAATACCAGTACTCACTTTTGTGATGAGTTAGGAATGAGACCCCTCAGTTGTCCATGAAGCGCGTCTTGAATATTGCCAGATGAATATAGCCCAATTGGAGAATTATAGGAGGAGCTCACTACCTGTCTTTTGTCATCAATATTTGCTGCTGCAACAAAAGGCTGGGCCCTTCTGTTGTGAGCTGTACCAATAGGCTTGAATTCCTGTACATGATAGGCAGACAAAATACACAAAGCTACAATGCACACCAAAGCTAGTAATGAGTAAAACTGACAACATCAGTATTGTTAATCTCTGCATTTTTTACTTTTGCAACTTTGGTATTTTTTAACTGGTGCAAACATACTATATTTTCCCATGAATTTTCCATATACTACTTAGCCACACACATTCAGAGAGTATAATTATCCTTCCCCAGGGCAAACATAAGGCATTCCACATTTGTAAATAACGTGCAACTTTAGGAAGAGATGGGAGGGATGGATATTATTGTAACCTGTTGTATTGTTTTGTTTTCACACTGTTTATGTTCTTCTGTTGGAAACTTTTGATGTGTAGTTAGCTTAACTGCTTTGCTTTAGTGCTAATCTCTGGCTTTTTTTGTCTCATACTCATGGAAGAACTCATAAAAGTATAAAGATTTTATTGTAAACATCTTGCCTAGAAAACACATAATTTTTAACTTTTTTAACTGAACTAGTCTTGGATGTACGTCAGATTGAGGACATTCTTCTTTCCATACAAGAAAGCATGCCTGTACCTCAAAAAATTTGATGCTGTATAATTTGAAGTGAAATAATTATAAATAAGTGAAACCCAGAAATGGGTAAATTGGAAAGAATTCTGCCTATGTTTTTTTTATTTCTGGAATATGATTTTATTTATTGTTGGCCCAGATAATTTCCTCCAGTAGTGGAATTAATCCGGGTAAGATCTGGTGACAAAATCTCAGATGACCTTTCAGATAACTTTTGACGTTCTTCTATGGTTAGGAGTGATTGGCTTGACCATTTCTACATTTATGTTTTACTCCACTGTGTTATATAACATATAAACATTCTAAGTTCTGATATTGCTGAATAGGATTGTTTTCAAATTGTTAAAGAGCTTTTGGCTTATTCACTGATTACAGTTCGAGCTGTCTGGTATTTGTGATCACATATTTTAAATGGTGACACATCCAACATATTCAGCTTTAGAATTATTCAGTTGTGGTCTTTCGCTTATGTCTTGCAGACTGTACAAACTTGTTTTCTGTTCTGCTAAAAAAAAGTGGGGTTTTTGGTGCATAAATGCCTTTTTTAGATTGCCTTAACCTTTAGGAATGCTAGAAAAATTTCCAGTTAGAACAAATACAACCTATTAACAAAAACAAAATAGATACTAGAATGCTAAAATCCACAGAATAAATCAAGATAATTAGGCCAGATGAGGTAAGCATGGACACATTTTTTACATTTCTAGATTGTTTTTCATTTCTCAGAGCATTATATCCTGTCTCAGACAATATCTAGTCTCTGTTCAATGTTTTGGTGAATTGTTTATAAAAATTATGAAAACCTGAATATGAATTGGCCCTTTTGTTTTAGTTTAAAACAACAGTTTCAGACATATTTAGGAACAGAACTAAAGAAAAGTCATGGTCATATAGAATGTGCAACCAGAAAATGCAAACAGTAAAAAAGCAGTTTTATTAAATGAAAATGTTTAGCAGCATTGCACTGTAAAAGGCTACTGAAAGCAACAATCAGATAAATGAGCACAAAGATTTAACTTGCAGTTCCCTGTTTCTGTCTGATAGAACTGGGTTGCAATTAACAAAATGTATTAGTAGATGGAAATAATCTACTAGTGTTTAGGATCATGTCTACTTAATGAAAGATATTAATGTCAAAGTATTTAAAATTAATTTAAATCCATGTATGATACAAAACAAGCAAAACCAGCCATGAGCATTGTAATTTCATCACCTTTTTTATTTCTGTTTGACAGAGGAACAGCACAGAAGACATGCGGCACCATAATAGCATGTTTACAATGTAACAGTTGTGAAATAAATATTTGCAGTTAGTTAAACTTCTGTTTTCCTTCTAACTCTTCTGTTGATATAAAATGTCAGTGACAGAACATACAGCAGCAAAAATAGTCCAGCTCTTGTGTTTATTTGATCTCTTTGAATCTCTGAAAATTCCTCCTTTAGTTCAATAGCTAAATGAGAACTGGAGGTTGTTGAAATTCCTAATCAGGAATATTTGACAATTACAGTGTTGTTGTTGGACTTGGTTTTTTTTTTTTTTTTTTTTTTTTTTTTTTTTTTTTTTTTCCCCCTAGCAGAGTGATGTCCTTTTTGCAGGGCCAACTACACTTTGCATTGATGTAGGCATCAGGAATAGAATGAATGTAGCCCCGAAAGTCTGTCAAAATGCATCCAACATGGACCATATGATGGCATTCCTTGGGGATAATCACTGTGAACATGGATGTTTACATTTTGGAGGTATCATGTGACTAAAATCTTTGTCCCTGAATGCTGTTATGGCAGAGGAGGTTGGTCCTCAAAACTAGACTGGTACAAGTATATTGCTTCAAAACTTGATTATAATTGGTTAATCTTACTTTTTAGAATAGTGGCTTTTGGGTTTTTTAGATGTTTATACTCATCTATGAGTATAATGTATTTGTATCTCCCAGGAATATGTTATGTCTTTCATGGCCAAAAGCCTACTCACACTGAAAAAAATGTTAAAAGGCAAATATGGAAACAAAAAAGCTCAAATAAAAGCAATTCAAGAAATTGTAGCAATGGAAACAAATTCATTAACTGAGAAAAAAAAAATACAGATTATGATATTGTTTTACATTTACAATGCAGCAAAAAGGATTTAAAAATAATTTTGTAAGATACAGTTTTCCATTTAGATTGTTTTATTTTCTCTTCTTAATTATATTATTGGAGACTTCTGTTCTAAATTGCTTTTATACCAAATATAATGTGATTGTAATAGTAATACTTCAAGTAGTGTGTTATTTCCTATGATTTATGCATCATGGTAGTGGTTGCTCCAGACTAAGGAAATTAGGTGGCTGGTTTTTATGTGGGAATGTTTATATTTCACGATTGGCTCTCAGTCAGCTGCTTATTGCTAGAAGTAATTTATGAGAATTGTTTTCTTAGTTTTCTCTTCCCAGAGAAAAAAATAGTGAGAGCTTTCGCTGTGCTATGACAATTGCCTGTATCAATCTCCAGATGACTCTTTGGGGTTGCTCAGCCAAATGCAGAAGTGTGCTATGGTGTGAAGATTCACGGAATCACAGAATCTTAGGGATTGGAAGGGACCTTGAAAGAGAGGTCTAGAGAAGGGCCACAGAGATGATCAAAGGATCAGGGAGCCTGCCATAAGAGAAAAGGCTGAGAGATCTGGATTTGTTCAGCCTGGAGAAAAGAAGGCTTGGGGGAAACCTCATCACTATATTCCAGTACTTGAAAGACAGCTATGAAGAAGAAACAGACTCCCTTTTAAAAAGCACTCACATGGAAAAATGAGGGGTAATGGATACAAGTTACTTCTTCGGAGATTCCAATTGGACACAAGAGGAAGATTTTTCAAAATGAGAAAAATCAGCCATTGGAATAATGTCTCCAGGGAAGTGATAATTTCCCCAATTTAGGATGCTTGTAAGATTCAGCTGGACGGGGTGTTGGGCCATCTTGCCTAGGCGGTGCTTTTGCCAAGAAAGGTTGGACTAGATGATCCTTGAGGTTCTTTCCATCCTGGTATTCTATGATTTTATGATAACATCTACGAACTTTTGTGTAATTTTAATTATTATACAAATGGCATAAATATTTTTAATAGAACTCAGTGGCGTTCCATTTCTGCACATTAGACAACTTTTGGATAACACAGTTTTACATTTGAAGGAATACTATAGTGCTTTTGAATATTTCTCTATTCATCAGTGCCTTTATTTATTGTTAGATGTCAGCAAACTTTAATATGACATAAACAGAACAGGTTATAGTTGTGCGACGGTTTGTCATCTGGTGTTAAAGAAACTTTGATGTTGTAATGTTTTTCCTACTGGTATACATGCTGCCAGGTCTCATATGTTGTGACTAAACACATAGCAAAATTAATTTAAAATTTCCGTAATTGTAGAAAAAGAGGCTGTATTTTTTTCCTTAGGGAGATCAGAGTAATGCACGTTCTTGAATGGAAGAATTTAATCTAAAATGTAAATAATTCTTATAACGGTTTAGTGTATTTGCTGACAAGCATTGCTACTTTTCTGAGGCCTATTTTTAATTAAATGAACCCAGTACTCCTGGTTTGCCTAGGAAGGGGAAAGGTGGACATACTAAAATGAAGAGGCTGGTTGTTTCTGGTTGCCCGATGGAGACTACTTTTTCATAGCCTGCCAAATAGCACTTAGTGAAATGCTGTGATTTATTCTTAAGTAACTGTCCTTTTTAGGAACGCAGCTTTCATGCAAAGGAATTGCTCTCCTGTTATTCATGCCTACATGGTTTTGTCTGTAGCTTTTAAAGTGAATTTACTCCATTGCTATTTCTTTTATGTATATCCTAGGGATTCTGCAAGAATATGCATTTTAAATTGTTTTGTTTCTTTACTATACTATCTCCTTCTGCTGAAGAGGCTATGTTGTTTCTGCTGATATTTGCTGTATCACTTAATGCAAATTTTTAGGTTGGAAAAAAGAGAGAACTGGAACACTGAAAGACCATGTTCATGTTTGGGAGTGTCTCCTTGAAAACAGAACAGAATTGCATAGGATTTACTGAAATGGAATTCACACATTTTTCTAGGACAGCACAAAATAAATACTTTGACATACTTGCTTTGATCCTGGGAGACCAGAATCAGCAGAATACTCTTCCCTCCCTCTCTTGAGAGAACAGCAAATGTTCACATAGGTTAAAGAGGAATGACAAAGGAGTAAAGCACTAGTCGTAGACATTAGCTAGCTAATTAACTATTAACAATATGGAGGCTTTGGCTCCTAGCCTTGCACTGGGTGCAAGTTTGAAGAGAAAGGAAGATTGTAAATGATTGGATTTGCTTTGCTCATATACAATGATCAAGACTTTACTGGCCAGAAGTGGTGAACAGTTTGTTTAAGGATCAGTGCATGGGTTTTGTACACTTTGAGTTCTGTGGTGTAGTATGATACTGTATGGAAGTAAAGAGACCCAGTATTAATGGATCTATCTATTTAATGGATACATTACAGTGACTTTTGTGATGTGATGTGGTTATTGTTTGGTACCTGATAGTTTTTCCTGATTGAGAAACTTCCTCATATGATGATGAATCTCTAAAAGAGTTAAAGCTATTTAACCAAGTTGGGGTAAAAGGAGATGTTTTCTGTCCATAATAAAACTATGGTGACATATCCAGCTTTAAAGAAAATGAGAACTTGTTAATGGCTTTTTCCAGGTATAGCTGAAAAATCAAAAACACCCAGTCAGATAAAATGGTGTTCATACATATCATAATTGTGATGGTTCCTATTAGCTTAAACTGTCAGATAATGGACAAACTGCTGTTTAAAAAATTTAGTGACCAGAAGGGAGATAATTTAGAGTGTAAAAAGATGAATGGAAACGGTTAGGTAACTTTTAAGAATTCATACCTGTGGTTCAGCTTCCAAATTTATCTTGAAGGGATGTGCTTTGCCATCTTCTGAAACTTGTGGGGACCATAATTTAGTTCCTGACCTAGAAATAAAGAAAGACAGAATTTAAACAACCTGAATTCCTACAGAGTTGTATATATCTCTGTAAAATATAATGCAGCTTGAAAATTTGCAGTTTGTTCCATGCTTTTTAAATTATTTGAAATAGAAATACTTCAATAATATGTAATGTGCACTATATGTAAATAATATATAGAAATGTATTTACTTTAAAAGAAATTGCATATACTATGAACAATGGGAAATAATTTATTAGTAATAACCAAATGCAAAGGGAAGTTAGCATTTTTAAAATATGCACATATTCCATAGGCACAATTTCACTTGCCATATTTTGAAAATTGGTTCCTAAGAGAGTTGTTAAATGACATATAAATCTGCAACATAATATCGAATTAACTATAAGAATGATAGGAACTTTTAATATGTGATGTGTGTTCTAGTAATTAGAAAATGCTCCTTCTAGAAAAAAAGTAAAATAAAAGATGAGAATATGCAGGTTGCTTCTCCTGGTGACTTTAGTTGAGAGAAATGTATGCGAGAAGTTTCTGGGCTCCTGCAGTTCAGGTAAGACAGGGATTTTTTAGTTTATTTTGGTTTTTTAATTGCTTTGAGACCCAATTGTGATCAAGGAGTTTGGCTTTAAGTCCTCTGCTTTGTCACCTCTTACGAAAGTCTGACATGATGTTGCTTTCCTTGACTGGGAGGATAAATTAGTAGGTTTGACTGTGCTGGAGGCGATGAGAAGCACCTGTGGCTGAGGGGGTGTTACAGCAGAGAAGTAACTGAACAAGTGGCAGCTAGCTGAGAGTGTTTGTTTACTGTCAGCAAACACAGGACTTGTGGAGTCAGCAGAGGCAGTAGATGGTATGGTTCACAGCTCAATAAATGTGGCGAGTAGCCTGAGGGAAACTATCCTTTTAGCACCCCTGAAGACAATGTTTGGGGAGGCTTGCCTGATCTGGAATTGGTGAGGTATGTTTGGGTGCTTGTAATTTTAAAGTTTTTGTGAAATTCTTAAAGCTGTTTAAAGTAGTTGCACTGTATCATCAGTTGGCTGAATAGTATCTTCTTTCAGAAGTAAGCAGATGTGTACACATACCTCTCTATTTTCAAACAAAGCTGATGTGCAGCTGCTTTAATTCTCTCCTGGGCATCATTATGTGTCATGTTCTCTGTGCCTAGACCATCAATAGCTACAATAACATCACCAGGGCACAGGTTGGCAGCTGAAGCCTTGCTTCCAGGTGTAATCTGAAAAAAAAAGCACAACAAAATGTAGCTGCTTAAACACCATGCATACCTGAAAATTGATGCAGAAAATAAATTTCACTGTGCTTTGCTGTTTCCTGTTGGGTTGATGGAGTGGGCCTGTAAATATCTATATGATTGCTTAAAAAAAAAAAAAAGTGAGTTCTTAATTCTTCTAAGCCTCCTGTAGTTCTATTGTCAGATCACCATAAAATGCTTTATTTGTTTTAAATTCAAATTAGATGAAAACTTTCTTCCTACTTCTGCATTAAAGAGTTTCCACTCTGATTTTTTTAGTTACTGGAACTTGTCTTTGATCTTCTGTGTCAACTGCCATCGTGTAGTTTGTTTAAACAAAAACAGTTAAGCTTTTCCCTTACAAGTCTAGGCAAGAGCAGAAGAATAGAACTGTGAAGTAATTGTGCTACTTAATGTTCTTATGCATGTTGTGTCATAGACAGGACAATATGGAAAGCCAGTTGTCTTACCATATTTAAGGGCAAATACATCAGTTAGTGCGTTTTCTGCTAGCCTGGACTCTCATGTTTTATTGTTAAAGAACCATAAATATGCTAATAATACTGAAATGACAGTTTTCTCTTTATTAATGTCTAATCCAGACTCTGAACTCCTTAAAGTGCGAGGCTCTAAGTTTCATTGCATTTGAGTAACAGTGGCCCTGATCCTTCAAGGTGATCTGTGTAATGTGACTCATACATCATGGCAATATACCAAAGTCAGTGATGTTCACAGAAATAGCCCTAAACTTGTCTTTGTATGCTTAAGTTGTTTTGGTCTTGTTGATAATCTTCTGTATCATGGTTAAAATAATTTAAGTGCATCACGATTCTGTTTTACAATAACTGTTGTAGAGAGGCCATGACCTTAGATATTACTAAAACTTGTTCTAGAATTGCAAGCTTTTATTTGCAAACAGGGGACTTCTCATAACACCACACCATTTAAACAGGTCTTGGTCATTGAGTGGTATTTAGGTCCATTTGGGTGTGTATTGTCGTTTTAGGTGACCAATGATAACCAAGACAGCAATGTGGAGTTCATGGATGTAGCACATTAGGTTCTGGGATTCAGCTTTTCTGGAACAGTAGAACAAAGGGGACAGGTTGATTAATCTAAAATAACACTAAGTTCTTATTTTTAAGTAAGTGAATCCTAGTGTGAAGGACAAAGATGTCAATACAGTCTTACTTGTAAGAGTTCTCAGTTCTCTCATCTGTGCCACGTATGAAATAAAAAAAGCTATTGGAGAGAATTTATCTCACCATGGGTTCTGCTACAGCCAAAGCAAGTGGTATCTCAATTTTTAAAAGTAATTCTTATGGAGCACTTAAAATTATGCTATGGAGATGTTCTTACATTCTGGTGTTTCCCAGTTGTCCAGCAGAGGAAGAGTGTAAGATGCCCATTATACCTCCAGTATGTTCTGTACCTCAGCGATGGTGAACCTGGCAGATCTGTGTCTGAAGGTGGCAGTACTGTCAGCATCAAGGTCAAATAGAAATACTCTTTTTGATGTGTGTTGAACGACATTAGTATTAAAAAAATGGCAAACAGCCAAATAGAGTAGTTCTCTTTCCAACTCTCCATCTCTTGTAGATGGGTCTGAGTGCTCAAAGAACTTAAGGGTGTGTTTTGTGGGCCTTTTTTCTCTATTCAAGCAGGTAATTTATTTTTTTTCCCCCCCTCCACTGTATAAAACTGCCGTGCATGTGCTAGTATCAAGTCAGACAAACTTTCCAAATGGGTACTGGAGGTCAGCTGGGGGCTTTTAGCCCCTCAGTCTCCAAAAGAATGGACTCTTGTGTATTGTGTGCTTAACAAAGTGCTGAGATGCCTCAATAATCTGTTTGAGTATGAATCAAGGGAGTTGCTCTTAAATTCTAAGTATGAAGTCTCCAGAATGGTTTGTTTCTCAAACCTCAACAGCTGTAAGTGTAAATGAACTACACTGAGACTTCTTTCTTACATCACTGTAAGAAAACAGAAATAGAGTTGCTATAATGCCTCTTCCTTTAACCTAGAATAGCTCCTGACTTTGCTTAGCATCTTGTGGACATGCGTGGAATGACAACCTGCAGCAGAAGTCCTAGCGTTTGAGTGTGACTGTTGATTCTCTAATACCCAAAATGGACAAAACCAGCTGTTCTTGGTTCTTTCTCAAGAGTAAACTTGGTTGAATTACCCTAATATAGGTTACTTGGTAGATTACACTTTTTACATGCCACCACAAATAATCTACTGTATCTGTGGCATACTTCAGCAGTGTAATGAGATAATGATCCTGCCTTATAAAGTAGGGTATCTGTCTAGTACAGTATGTTCCCCTGCAGCTGTGCAGGACCTAACCCACTCTGCGTTACTGGTAATAGTGCAGGGTCCTTTGTCATTTCTTAACATATTGTCACCAGCTGCAGTGATACCACTCCATGAGTGGATGTGGCTACTGTCACTCAGTAGGAAAGGGAGCAGAAAGTCTGTATTTCTTATTCCTTAGCTCAATCAAATATTTCCAGGCTTCTGGAATGTGTCTTTTGAGCCTTCATGGGGCGCTGAGCTATACTTGCTCAGGCCTTCTGGGGTGCAGAACTGCCTGCCTCTGTATAATCCTTACTCTCATTTGCTCTTCCTGGGTTTGATGGAAAGAGCTGGAGATCTGCTGCCAGGATGGGGTAGGAGGAAGATGACTGTCACTCTAGGAAAGGGAGCAGAAAGTCTGTATTTTATTCCTTAGCTCACAATCAAATATTTCCAGGCTTCTGGAATGTCTTTTGAGCCTTCATGGGGCGCTGAGCTATACTTGCTCAGGCCTTCTGGGGTGCAGAACTGCCTGCCTCTGTATAATCCTTACTCTCATTTGCTCTTCCTGGGTTTGATGGAAAGAGCTGGAGATCTGCTGCCAGGATGGGGTAGGAGGAAGATGACCTAAGCTCTCAGTATTTCAACGGAAACTGACTGCTACTTGTGGGGAAGGGGGACAGAGAAAAATATTGCTGTTTATATAAAGGCAGCAGGTTGTGCAGGGCAAGATCACACCATGCCACGTGTATGATATTGATCTAGAGGATTGCGTCAATAATGTGATTCCATTTATTATTAGTGAGGCATTAAATGTGTATTTCGAACATGTACAATCATATTATGACTGTAGTGTTTGTTGCTTGCTCACCCTGCTTTATGAGGGAGATTCTGCAGGTGCTTTGTGAAAAATTTTTGCCTTGTTCTTCAGGACACATTTGTATGGCACACTTGTTGATCCTGTATCCTAGGTATCTTGGTTTTTGATAAATATAAGGATACATTTTGAGCATTCAGGTATTGTCAGAGATTAGATTTAACCACATGAGGGGCAAAAATGTTGAAGTTTTGCGGAAAACTTCTTTACATCTGTTAACAGACTTATGAAAACATGATGGAAAACCTTCATAAATATCTTGGGCTCTGTGTTCTCTGAAGAGAGTTTTGAATGCCTGAAGACAGAGTCACTAAGTATAAAGTTGAGTTAATATAAATACTTGCATTGTGATCTAATTTATACTGAGCTAGAGCTTAAATCTAGAGTTGATATTTCACCATTCCTTCCAACCTCTACAGGTTTTAATTGTTTCTGTAATGCTTTTTCAATATGACTTCAATTTGAGGACTGCATTTCTCTAAACACTTCACCCAAAAATGTTATTTTTCTGGTCAAAATGGACTGAAATGACTCAGTTTCCTTTTATTATTCAGTTTTGTTGATATACTTTCTTTGCAACCATGTGAAGTTTCAAGGATTTAAAGAAATGCTTCATTATTTGTAGTTAATTCATTGTTTCTGACTCTATTAAATAGACTCGGAATATGTCTATTTTTAGTTGCCTCCTGTTCTTCCTGTCCTCCCAGTGACCATGGTCTGTGGTTTTTGCATTTGCTTGAAACAGTCAAGAGAATTGCCTTGCTTGGGATATTGCAGATGGGTTTTTGAGATGACATCTGTTTTTAGACAGGTGGATGACGATCTCTTATGTTGTCTGTTTCTCTTCACAAGTCCTGGTAAAAGCTTTTGCTTGTCAAACAAGGACTATAGGAAGCCAGACTTATCACCTGTCCAATTATTTTATTCATAATGTGTTTAAAAAGAATTTTCATTTATTGTTTTATTCAATATTTTTTTTTCTTGTCAGAACAGTTAAGCTGAATGTGAATGGGCTGCTGGTGATACCTTCTACAGAGGAAACACCTTGGCTCTAAAAAGCATGTGAATCTTCAGAAATATTCAGTACTTCTTAAGGGGTACTACATGAATACTTATTTAAGAACTCTTCTAAATGTAAGCTGTGGTAACCAAAATGTTAATTTTAAACAAATCTAATGTCAAGTGCTCTTGAAGTTGAGCTAAGGAAACAAACTTGTCATTTTTCCCTCTACATATTTTATTTCAAAGTTCTACTTCAAATGTGATTTTGAGCATTTCTGTAATATACTAAAAAACAATGTCTTATGTCTTGTGAGGCATTTGGTAGGTATGAATCAATGGCAAAATAATTTCTTCTTTAGAAAGTAAAGGGCATTCATAGTAACATGCTTTGTTACTGCAGTTTTAAACTTCATTGCACTTAATCTAAACACAAAGAAAATACAAACCAGACACCACTAAAATATTTTTCATTGGAGATAATGGAAACTATTTTTCTATTGGAGGCCCATAAAAGGCAATGAAAGCCCCTAAACATCCAGAGATTTTTTTTCTTTTTTATTCAATGTTTTTGTCTGTTGTTCCTCCAAAGTCTTGCTGTGTCTTATGAGTATTCATTGTGGAGCTACATAGAGTCAGAAAATAGCATTTTGGGTTACTTCTGTTTAAAATAAGTAAAATCTTTCATGGTTGTATAAATCTGGAATAAGTGATTAGGTTAAATTAATTTTTAATAATATAATATGTGAAAGATTAGTCCTGAAACTTTCTGTAGACTTGTTTAGAAATATATTTTCTGTAAGGCATCACCAGTGGTATGCATCTCTCAAGGCTCTTGGTGTTTATTTAATACCAGGCATAGTGTATATATTGAGTCATAGTACAGGAGTTGTTGTTTTGGTTTTTTTTAAACAAAAAAGCAAAAAGCAGTTGAAGTGTCTTAGGTTCTGAAAAGCAGCAAAAGGAGACCTAATTCTAATCTGCTGTGTGTTGAATACAATTTTCAAAATATAAAAATTATCAAATTATAGATCCTTTTTTTTTAGTAGATCTATATCTGTAGCTGCAGAGCAGCTGACAAGTGTTTTATCTGTTCTATTTATCAAGTTTTATAAACATAAATTGCAATTAAAAGCGCAAAATCCATGAAAAAACAAAGGCTCAGATTCTTGCCCTTTATTAGAGGGGTAAGGTAAATAAATTGTCCCTTTATAATTATGATACCGAAGAACTATCTCTAACAGGATAACTTTCTCATAATTCACCAATTTAATATCCATGAAAATGAAAACTTTTACATGTGTAAAAACAGATGCTGTTGCTTTTGCTGACAATAATCGGAACTTGATTTAGTTAAATGAGAGCCTGATTAATCTTGTAAAGTTGGCACAGAGTTTGCAAAGCACAAGCTTCCAGACAGGAGGAGCTGCTGCCAAGTAGTCTTTTACCCCAGTGATCACAAAGGCTAGTCATGAAAATGATAAAGTGGGGTCTGGCCTTTAGTAGGCTCAAAACTAATTTTCTCATCTGAATGCCTGAGGAAATCATGCCAGAGTTTTCCTGCTGCCAAGGCACTTAAATTCAATTTTTAAGGCATAAGTAGAAATGCAGTTCAAGTCTCTTAGACCAATAAAGCAATCCCAGAAACATGTCACAGAAAACTTGTAAAAACTGTTAGCATTCAGCAGGCTCTCATCAGAACTAGCAGCTACTTGCTAAGCTGCTCACAGTTTCATCTGCATCTCTGAACTCCAGGAAAGTAAAGGGCAAACATCTGCAATAACTAATGAAAGTAATAAATAGAAAGGAAATGGGAAGAGTACGTACCCTAGTTATGATCAAGGGTTGGTTAAAATCTATTCCTCCTGAGAGCCTGAATCCCCAGGGTGCTGGTCCTTGGAGAATAACGTTTTGGGGCATTCTGGACGTTGGTTTTTCTTGGTTACTGTTCTTATTTTCCTTGGGTCTCTGTGAGGAGCCACACTGTGGGAGGAAGGGAGCTGTTAAGGGAGCACCTGCTGGGCAGGGCAGCCGGCCTTGTGTACCTCTTAAGAATTTTTACTCATCCCGCAGCTGCGGGCACTGCACTTTATCCCTGCTCTTTGGGTGACGTCAGCCAGTCCCTCGGCTTCTCCACCCACAAAGGGGAGTATCAAACTCAGACAAATAAAGCCTGAATGCTGGAAAGTTGACAACAAATACTTCAGCTTTATCTGCTGCTTCAGCGTCCCCCTCAGCCCGACAATCAGTAAGCCTCAGGATGCAGTGTCCTTCTTTCTGGACTTTTAAAGCAACCCTGTTTCTTATTTGATAACCATGCTGATTACATTGCCGGTGCTTGTTTCAACTATGCAATGCGCTGCTCTGACTTTTTACTCAGTTCTGTTTCATATAAACAAAAATACTGACAAGGAGATTTCCCTCTCAAGCTCTTGTTTTACATCTTGTCTTATTTGTAATGTAGTCATTTATTGCACTCCAGAGTCCTTTCAGCCCTTTAGCTACAGTTACTTGAGAACATGGCATGCACCAACTTTAAAGGCTCGAAAAATCTGGACTGATGTAATGCATATTTCTCATACTGAGGAAGAGAAATGCAGTATTAGTTGATGATGTCTTTCCTCTTTGTAGAAATCTTTGATTTTATTTTATTTTTTTAAGGTAGTTGCAGATAACTGTTGGTTGCATTCCTTTTAGTCTTCATATGTCAGCTTGATCAGCTTTAGTCTGGCTTCTGTATTTCTTGTTTTCCTCAAAAAGAGAGGGAGAATTTTTCAGTGATGATGTACGTGTTCACTCTCATTCTTATCACATTGTTACAGATTATTTTTTTTTCCTCTTTTTTTTATTATTTTTTTTCCTCCTTTCTTTTCCTGAATGAGTCAACAGCAAGTCAAGTGAGATCCTGGAAGGGATAAAAACCTGTTCCATATATTTTAGGCATAATAACCCACTTATGTTTTCTCCATACACTTTCCTTTCCTGCTATTAGTAACCTGCTTAGAAGAGTCTCTGAACATGAAAGAGCAGTAAATGAGATGGAAGAATAAAATGCAGACTCATTCATGTAATTTCTGACATGGGAAATTTTTTTATCTGTAGATTTCAATATGAAATTGGCTTCTGTCTCTTATTCGGACTTGCTGAGTTTTGTTATCTGTGCTAATTTTTATATAATTGAAGTCCTTCTCATTAAGATATCCTGAGTTTTGGTGGAAGTTGTGGACTTGAAGGGAGATAAAACCAGGCCCACCAGAGATGAGCCTAGGGGTGAAGGGCCAAGGATGGGGGTGAAATTGATCACCCAAGTCAAATGCATCTGCACTAATATACATAGCATGTCATGGCTCTGTACCTTAGGGAGTGTTTTGCCTAAATAGAACTTGATTATAGTGATGATAAAGTTCAGTGCTTATGGGTAAGGATGAAAGGGAAGGCAAGTAAGGCAGATATCGTGCTGGGAGTCTGCTCTAGACCACCCGATCACGATGAGGAGTCAGATGAAGTATTCTGTAAGTGACTGGCTGAAGTTTCTGAAGCTGTGGCAGGGAAGGTTCAGATTGGATATTAGAAAGAATTTCTATACTGAAGGAGTGGTCAGGCACTGGAAGAGCCTGTCCAGGAAAGTGGTTGAGTCACCATCCTTGGAGGTATTCAAGAAATGTGTTGATGTGGCACTTCAAGCCTCTTTCTGTCATTTACCAGCAGTCCTGGCTAACTGGGGAGGTGCTAATGAACTGGCGGGTAGCAAATGTGGTAGCAAAAACCATCCACAAGAAAGGATGAAAGGAGTATCCGGGGAACTGCAGACCTGTCAGTCTGACCTTGGTGCCAGGGAAGGTCATGGAGCAGATCATCCTGAGTGTCATTATGCACCATACACAGAGAAACCAGGTGACCAGGTCCAGGCTGCATGGGTTTATGAAAGGAAGGTTCTGCTTGACAAAACTGATCTCTTGCTATGACAAGATGACCCACCTGGTCGATGAGGAAAAGGCTGTGGATGTTGTCTACCTGGATTTCCATAAAGCCTTTGACACTGTCTCCCACAGTGTTCTGATGAAGAATCTGGCTGCTCATGGCTTGGATGGGCACTGCTGGGTAAAGCACTGGCTGGACGACCTGGCCCAGAGAGTTGTGGCGAATGGAGTTAAATCCAGCAGGTGGCTGGTCACTAATGGGGTTCCTCAGGGCTCAGTATTGGGACCTCTTCTTTTTAACATCTTTATCAACAATCTTGAGGAGGAGATAGAATGCACCCTCAATAAGTTTGCAGATGACGCCAATTTGGGTGGGAGTGTTGATCTGCTTGAGGGTAGGGAGGCTCTAAAGAAAGACTTGGACAGACTGGATCAATGGACCGAGGTCAGTTGTATGAAATGCAACAAAGCCAAGTGCTGGGTCCTGCACTTGAGCCACAACAACCCCATGCAACAGGCTTGGGGAAGAGTGGCTGGAAAGCTGTGCAGCAGAAAGGGACATGGGAGTTCCGATTGATAGCCAGCTCTCCAAGATGCTGTTGTTCCAGACACCAGCTGTTAGATACTGTTTTATTGGTGTCACAGATTGAGCTTTAAGTCTATTTACACTTTTTTCCCCCTTGTAACTCCGAAAAATTATGATTTTAAAGGCAATACTGAATTGATGCTTGTGACATAAGGCTGCTTCATAGTTTCTTTTCAGTCACTGCCTTTGAGGAAGTACTTCATGCATTTACAAAGTACATGCACATTTTATCTTTTATCTCCTAAAAGCTCTTGTGTTTTTTTTCATATCAGACTAAGATGATCAGCTGAGCTGGATTGAAACTAGAGCCTTTTATCTAATTAATCAAGTTGTATTTCCATCACTGAAGTAAAGGCTATTTTATTTTCCTATATCTGGTTTTAAGTCAACTTGCATATAAGAATATAGTCCTGGGAAGGCTTTGCAAGGCGTAATGAGAAGCTTTTAAATAAGCAAATCTTGAAATTAAAGATTCATTGTAATGAAACAATATGAAACTTTCTCTGCTCATAATTTTGGCTTTTGCAATAGTTCTAGGCATGAAAATGGATTTTTCTAAATATGTTTGACATTTTTAGCTGTGAAAAGGCTGTGGATGTTGTCTACCTGGATTTCCATAAAGCCTTTGACACTGTCTCCCACAGTGTTCTGATGAAGAATCTGGCTGCTCATAGCTTGGATGGGCACTGCTGGGTAAAGCACTGGCTGGACGACCTGGCCCAGAGAGTTGTGGCGAATGGAGTTAAATCCAGCAGGTGGCTGGTCACTAATGGGGTTCCTCAGGGCTCAGTATTGGGACCTCTTCTTTTTAACATCTTTATCAACAATCTTGAGGAGGAGATAGAATGCACCCTCAATAAGTTTGCAGATGACGCCAATTTGGGTGGGAGTGTTGATCTGCTTGAGGGTAGGGAGGCTCTAAAGAAAGACTTGGACAGACTGGATCAATGGACCGAGGTCAGTTGTATGAAATGCAACAAAGCCAAGTGCTGGGTCCTGCACTTGAGCCACAACAACCCCATGCAACAGGCTTGGGGAAGAGTGGCTGGAAAGCTGTGCAGCAGAAAGGGACATGGGAGTTCCGATTGATAGCCAGCTCTCCAAGATGCTGTTGTTCCAGACACCAGCTGTTAGATACTGTTTTATTGGTGTCACAGATTGAGCTTTAAGTCTATTTACACTTTTTTCCCCCTTGTAACTCCGAAAAATTATGATTTTAAAGGCAATACTGAATTGATGCTTGTGACATAAGGCTGCTTCATAGTTTCTTTTCAGTCACTGCCTTTGAGGAAGTACTTCATGCATTTACAAAGTACATGCACATTTTATCTTTTATCTCCTAAAAGCTCTTGTGTTTTTTTTCATATCAGACTAAGATGATCAGCTGAGCTGGATTGAAACTAGAGCCTTTTATCTAATTAATCAAGTTGTATTTCCATCACTGAAGTAAAGGCTATTTTATTTTCCTATATCTGGTTTTAAGTCAACTTGCATATAAGAATATAGTCCTGGGAAGGCTTTGCAAGGCGTAATGAGAAGCTTTTAAATAAGCAAATCTTGAAATTAAAGATTCATTGTAATGAAACAATATGAAACTTTCTCTGCTCATAATTTTGGCTTTTGCAATAGTTCTAGGCATGAAAATGGATTTTTCTAAATATGTTTGACATTTTTAGCTGTGGTTTGTAAGCAGCTTTCTTAGAATCATAATGTTGTCTTTTGGTTTGTAGTATGACTAACCATAATATTTGAAGCAGTCTCTTGCTTTCTCTCTGGATTGGTGTTTCATTTGATTTTTGGGCCAAACATTATATTTCTACCCAATGCAATCTGCAAGAGTACAATTAATTATTTATTTATTTTTACAGAACAGGGGAGGGGAAAGATGAGCTCTGTGAATTTTCTTCAAGTCACTCAGGATTTTGAGATTTGAGGGTGGGGACACAAGTTAGATATCAGAGTAGTAGCATGGTGTTCAATGTCATCATTGCATGCCATGCCATGCCACCTTGAAAGCTTTGGACAATGAAAGCCCTGTGCTCCTGGCACAGCATCATTTCCCTCTGGTATTTCTGCAAGGCACACTTGCTAACTCACGTCACTTTTCTGTTTTCTCACAGTGCATCCCTGTCTTGATGGAAGGAAATGTTATTTTCCTGATAACTTGGCAGTCTGAGAGTTGAAATAATATAAGTAGCAAATTTTTAACACCAATTCATCCTTCTGCAAGGTCATGGAGCGCTCTGTTGCAGGCTGTGGAACCAGAATAAACTCTGGTAGAGACAGAAACAAAAACCAACCACAACAAAACCCAAACTCTTCTGAGTGTGGGTTTTAAGCTATACATTTCCAGTCTTATTTCAGAGCTTAATCTGTCATGGTAGGCTGCACTAGACTAGGCCACTGTTTGTGAAGTTTAGACAGTAACAACTTAGGATGCTAAAGGGAGCTGAAAATCATTTGCACATGTGGAACAGCGTGTACTTAATCGGCTTCTCCAGAGGTGAAAGGTCAGAATATTCCCTACTGCACG